ATACGTCACTCATCTGTTTGACCAAAGCGTTAATCGTTTTGGACCACCCGGTAGTGAACGGACTTATGAGTCGATATTCAGCGACCACGCTCATTTCTTTGTTGTCAGATGGTACTTCTTTCATGTCGGTCGTAAATCTAATTTTTAAAGCAATTTTAAATAAATATAACTCATGTATTGATAGCTCAATATTTTAATAGTATAAAAGTCAAAATTTCATATTTACCTGTAGCTGGCTTTAGGCTGCTCATTTGTCGGTATGAGGCTATGGGAATAGCTAGATTACAAAATTTAGTGATTATAGTATATCAACAATATAAATATGATTTATAATGTAAAATTAATTTAAATAAGTTTAAATATGTTATATATATATCTGTACTGTGGGTTTTGAGTTTTGACCAAGTTGACCACAAAAAGCAATAATATATACTTTATGGCAGACATTTTGAACTAAATGTCCAGTTAGTTTGACTCAATTAAACAACTATTTAAAATGGTGATGGACTATCACCTTATATTACTTGAGAGTAAACTAATGNTTTGACCAAGTTGACCACAAAAAGCAATAATATATACTTTATGGCAGACATTTTGAACTAAATGTCCAGTTAGTTTGACTCAATTAAACAACTATTTAAAATGGTGATGGACTATCACCTTATATTACTTGAGAGTAAACTAATGTAAAATTAATGTAAAATTTTATGATTTTAAAAATTTTAATCAAATATTATACCATATTTGCTAACAGCTTTTTATTTAAATTAATTAAATGATTATATTACACAATTAATTTAATTTTTATATTAGAATTACTCTACTATGAATTTTGTTATTTAAGTTATTACAACAAAATTATAAAATTATTATATTAAATAAAATCTAAATGAGATGTATGTAAATCTTATGTATGATTTTATAATTAAAATTAATCTTATTAAAATTACTTGCTAAAAGCTATAATAATAAAATTTGTTAAATATCATGAATTGTAATTATGTGCAATATAATTTATAGAGTATTAATGCAATGTACATATTTAAACGAAAATATGTTACAAAACTAAATTTTTATTTTAATGACTATAATTATTTAACAACATTATTATAAAAAATGTTAGTGTTGTTAAATTAATTATAAATATGTAACCGAATAATATTACATTAATAAAACACTTAATTAATTTTTTGTAGAAAATTTATATAAATTTAATATAATTTACAAATTAATTAAAACAATTTAAACTACCGTATTGCGCCGCATATAAGTGCATGCATTTATATCTGAATTATCACACAATAAAACAAAAGATGCATTTACGAGCAGAGTACTTCCGGTGAAACCAAGATAGTTTGATAAATTCTGTCTATCCTAATAGAGTAGAGCATAAAAAATAATTTAATTATAATATCTTTTGCTGTAACTCATGCGGGGATGCGTTTGAACACTTGAGATGCATAGTGTTAATGCACAAACTGTGCCCCTGCAAGTGTGCATCTCCTCTGCACAGTCTATGCATCAGTAATGCAGAATCATTATATATTTTAATCTGCAATGTTGCAAAAATATTTTCTAAAAAACTTTCTCCCTTAATATTAATTGGCAATTGTATCAGTTCACACTGTTTGATTGACTTTAACATTGACGCATAATATGAATTTTAAAACATTGCAGATCTATAATTATGTACGATTTTTACACAAGGGTGTAATTATTTCCAGATGTTGTAGTTTTGATTACATGGAATATTTGTGAAGTTAACTTATAAGAGCATGCACCTATATGCGGCGTAATAGGTAATTGTGTTGTAATATGTGTAAAATATATAAAACATGTAAAAATATAAAACTTCAATTATTATATAGCAAAAATATTACCATATGTTTAATTTACCCATGAATTTAAACAGCGTCATAAATACGCAATTCATCTATGATTTTAGTCCATCTGTAGTCGACTGAAGCGCTGTCTTAGTACAGGCCCTCACGGAATGCTATCAAACTTATAGGAAATATAAGGAAATATATTAAGAAATATAAATTTATTATAAATAATTGCATCCAATCATTTAATTATTTGTAAAACATTTTAAAAATACACTATTTAAATTTTTTTTAATTCTTAATCAATTAATATACAGTGCAATTTCTCTGTAGCAAACCCTTTAGAATACCCTTTCATAGAAAATTATTTGAAATCATTTGACAGATTTGCTATACATACATTGTATACTGATAATAAATTCTCACTACAACTAACCCCTCTGTAAAACTTTCACTCTATAGCGAACATTCACTCTATTTAAAGCTACTCAACATTCCCTTAAGCTATTATAATGAAAATTAGATTTAATTATAAATGTTTTCATTACTTCTTACGTACATCACTTATTTTAATGATGTTTTATTTATACGACATTTTATTATAAAGAATTTTACTACATTGTAATACACACATCATTTCATAGTTATAATTCCCATAAATTTCGTATACATAAAATTTTAAATTGTAAGTTTTTACAACTATTTAGCATTAATTTATAAGTTTATATATACGAAATTTATGGGAATTATAACTATGAAATGATGTGTGTTGTAATATATCAAATAATTTTCGATTATTATAACAAATTATTATGAAGGCTTTTTATTACTTTACTTGAAGGCCGTAACCTTTAGCCGAAAGTGCCTAGCCTATTACATTTACTACAAAAATGCATGGTTAAATGTCAAGTAATTTCTGTTATCAAAAAATACATTTTATAAGTTGTATTTAATTCATATAATCAGTAATTTTTGTTTGTTTTAAACACTTTTGTCTACCATTGTAGATTTCATTCTTTAATTTATCGATTCTTTCAAAACTCATATCATAACCATTAATGTTTGACATAAAGTTTTTAATAATGCTAATTGAGTAGATGGTTAAATTTTTAATAATGGCATCTCTTTGCTCATACAACTTGTAAATGTTTGACATCTTAAGACCTTAAGCACTAAATTGTTTTAATATCTTTTTATTTGGACACTTTTTGTCCGCCAATTTAATTACTTTATACTTTCTCTAATAAAAACTTATTTCGAGACCTTTTGTCAGCTATTTTTAAAGTTAAACGAGTTTTTATAAAAACAATCAACACTTTTGCACACAACTCGTTTTTATTTACTGTTGTAAAAATTATATTTGCCTTATATAGAGTACAGCACTGCTGTGCGTGTAGTAAGATATGTCTTTTATATAGAGTTTTGCTTAAATAGAATTATCCTTATATTGAGGGCCATAGTGTTAACCTCTCATAGGAACTGTCGGTGGAGAAAAACAAACCTTTCATTAAATGAAATTATTTTTATATCGAGTCTTCCTAAATCGAGGATAGGGTGTATATGTTTATTTCACATAATTTACAAGAATTTTATTTAATTAAAAAATTAGTTCAAAATTTATGTCTTTTATTTGCCATTGATAATTACTGCACATTTGATAAAAGGTACTTTTTCTCAGTACTAGAAGTGGTCAGCGTTTTATTATTACAGGCCAGCGAACTGAGCGACTCGATAGGAACTAAAAAAAATTTTAAAAAAATTTTTAAAAATTATATTCAGTTTAGATTAAAATGATTATAATAAACACGAACAAAATGTACATACCTGAAATAAATTTAAGATCTATATCAATTGATTCTTTAATTAATTGGATCAGCTCTTGCATTTCGGTGGGCGTTATATTAGGTAAAAGCGAATCAATCATTTTCTTATAAAATTTAAACAAGGTGTCCAATTCAATATCTGAATACAACAAGAATCGCGACAAAGCGCTGGGCCTGTACTGGGGCTGGCGTTTCACGTACTCCCGGAGCTGTAGAATGCGCCAAACGGGCACTAAGTCGGTGACCAGCATACGAATCAATGAGCGCCGTCTCATTTCCCGGTACACCAGTAGTTGATAGTCAAGCGTTATCTCCGAGAGAGCGGTTTCCTGTATAACGTCGTTAATGTCGCCCAGAATTTGTTTATTAGTGGCCAAAACTATTTGGCTTTCGTTTATTAAACGATTCGTAATTTGTTCTAAATATTTGCAGTCCGTATCGATGGTGACCAATGTTTGCGCCCCTTTTAACATCTCAACACGCGCTGTTTGTTAATCAATATATTAATTGGTTAATTTTTTGTTACTATTAACATGCACATTAAATAAGAATAGTTTTGATATAATTGACTCATGACACATGCCACCATTTTCACGACGCCAATCAATATTACATAACACGACGAACAACATCATATTATTATGAACATGATCGCAGTGGCACCCAGCAGGCACCCTAGAACTTTTGTCACAAAGACACCAATTTATCTATAGAAAATGTATTAGCTGTAACATTGTAGTTTAAGATTAAACCAAAAATGTTAAAGCTAACGATCTTTGGCGTTTTAGTGACCAGTAGTGATTGAAAAACTTGAATTTTTGGGTATTGGTATTGTATTGATATTGCCTCAGAGTACGACTCACAATATTGTATTGGTATTGCCTAATATTGCAAGAATATTGGTATTGTACTGGTATTGTATTGTATTGCAATATTGACAAATATTGACAAAATATTGCCAGAATATTGTCAAAATATTGCAATATTATTGGTATTGGTATTGTATTGTATTGCAATACCAATACCAATATATTGTATTGTTAATATTGTATTGCAATACCAATACTAGATTTTCAACCACTAGTGACCAGTTTTAAAAATAATGTATTATTTTGATCGAGTTCATACTAATATCGTTTGTTGATTAAATATTAATTTGAACCGAGAAAATCATGATTCATGAATTAATTAACCATGCATTTGCTTTCTTCCTTTGTTAACTATTTGTTTACTAGTCTTTAAATTGTGTAGATAATGAAAATATTAAACCCCCACCTTCAATTTTAAAATATTTAGTAATTGATCTAGCTTAATAGAGTTAAAATTGTAATCATTTAATCTACATTTTAAGAGAGGTTTCTATTTACTAACCATAACTAACTCACAATTTAATTCATGATACCGCCACTAAAGTAGCGTTGCCAACTAACATTTTGTAAATACTGTATAAATGTAAGAACAATGTCATAAATGTTTGTAGTAGTTGATAGTCAAGCGTTATCTCCGAGAGAGCGGTTTCCTGTATAACGTCGTTAATGTCGCCCAGAATTTGTTTATTAGTGGCCAAAACTATTTGGCTTTCGTTTATTAAACGATTCGTAATTTGGTCTAAATATTTGCAGTCCGTATCGATGGTGATCAATGTTTGCGCCCCTTTTAACATCTCGACACGCGCTGTTTGTTAATTAATATATTAATTGGTTAATTTTTTGTTACTATTAACATGCACATTAAATAAGAATAGTTTTGATATAATTGACTCATTACACATGCCACCATTTTCACGACGCCAATCAATATTACATAACACGATAAACAACACCATATTATTATGAACATGATCGCAGTGGCACCCAGCAGGCACCCTAGAACTTTTGTCACAAAGACACCAATTTATCTATAGAAAATGTATTAGCTGTAACATTGTAGTTTAAGGTTAAACCAAAAATGTTAAAGCTAACGATCTTTGGAGTTTTAGTGACCAGTTTTAAAAATAATGTATTATTTTGATCGAGTTCATACTAATATCGTTTGTTGATTAAATATTAATTTAGACCGAAAAAATCATGATTCATAAATTAATTAACCATGCATTTGCTTTCTTCCTTTGTTAACTATTTGTTTAATAATCTTTAAATTGTGTAGATAATGAAAATATTAAACCCCCACCTCCAATTTCAAAATATTTAGTAATTGATCTAGCTTAATAGAGTTAAAATTGTAATCATTTAATCTACATTTTAAAAGAGGTTTCTATTTACTAACCATAACTAACTCACAATTTAATTCATGATACCGCCACTAAAGTAGCGTTGCCAACTAACATTTTGTAAATACTGTATAAATGTAAGAACAATGTCATAAATGTTTGTATTTTCCTGTATGACAGATTAATTTTAAAATATTTATTCCTTTATGTTTGGCAACGCTACATTAAAGTGGCAAAGTAATCATATACAGTACATCATATATTGACTGCATTACTCACTTTGGAATAATTTTTTGATTCTCCACCAAAATATTCTACCCAAACGCATAGTAAATTGTTTACTCATATCTGCCATCATTACTATCTTCTGGACGTAATCCGAGGCAAACAGTTTGGCCAACGAGTGCTCCACTGTTTCCAACAGTCGAACGGTTAATGAGTTACTTATAGGCAGATCAGTGGTGACGGGACTTATGTTATGACCATTTGGACTATCAATAAAGACAGGACTGAAGGGCCGAATTGTGGACGTAGGACCAAATGGTCTATCATTAGGGCCAGAATTTGTGGCAGGTTCATTTTTAGTATCAGGACTTATGAGCGGATTTTTAAACTTAGAAACATCTTTGACAAATGTCATCAGTTCGGACTCTATGGGCGCCGTTATGTTCACAGCGTTGAGATAAATCACATTTTTATACGCATTCAAAAGCGTTTTCAAATCAAACTCTTTAAACAGCATTAAGTCGGACAACGGGCTCGACTGATATCGGGGCTGCTTTTTGAGATACTCCTGTATTTGTAGTGTACGCGAAATGGGCATCATTAGCACCAACACCTTTCGGACTAATGAACCATGTTTCATTTCCCGCTGAATCAATTGCTGAGTTTCAATATTGGTCTCATTTATTAGCTGTTGCTTTACATCGTCCCCAACGGCACCCAATTTTTGCTCAAATTTTGTCAAAAATTGTTCATTTTTTGGGCCCAAATATCCTATTATTCCGTCCAGTATTTTACGGCTTTTGTCATCGGTTGTGATCGATCGGATATATTTCAATAGTTGGAAACGACCTAGATGTTAATGTTAATACAACAATCAAGTATACAACAAAATATAACTATTTAAAAAATTTTGAAATAATTACTAACTTGTAATCGAATTTTTGATATTTTTCAAGAATATCCGACCGATTCGTATATTTTCATCAGTCATTTCGCCCGTCATTAGTATCTTCTGGACGTAATCCGAGGCAAACGTCTTCGTCACAGAGTCGGTAAACGGTTCAAACAATCGATCACTTATTTGTGTGACCTTTGGTTCAGTACTTATAATACGTTGCCATTCGGTTGAGTCAGCACTTGTGGGCTCCTCAGGACTTGTGTGATAAGTACACTTATCATGTAAGTCAAGCATTTCTTTTGTCAATTGGATGAGTTCGCTCTGTTCAGGTGCCGATAATTTACCAATATTTAAATCAATTACACTTTTTAACAAGTTGAGTTGATTTGTTTTATCAACGTCCGTTAACAGCATATGGTTTGTCAACGGACTGGGCCGGTAGCTAGGCTTACTTTTAAGGTACTCGATCAATTTTTGATTATGCAAAACGGGCAACATTAATAACAACACCATGCGTACTAATGAACCACGTTTCACTTCGCGGTCAACTAAGTGTTTATATTCAACGGTCGTCGGGTCCAGCGGTCGTTGCTTTACATCGTCGCCGACTCCACCCAATAATTGCTCAAATTTGGTGAAATGTGTGTCCATTTTAGGCACATTTATCTCTACATTCCTGGATATCTCGTCCAGTATTTGACGAGTTTTAGAATCGGTGGCAACCGATAGGGTTTTCTTCAGGAGCTGCTGACGGACTATATATTAATGTAAACAATATATGATTTAATTTATATTTCTATTATGGTGAATACTTAAAACTGATTAATAATAAGTACTATTTTACTTATTGTCTTATATAAAAATAATAATAAATTTTTTACAACAACAATAATGGGCCCTGTAATGTTAATAAATGCCCTAGTGCATAAGTGGGCAGTCGGGAATTATCATTTGAGTCACTTTATATCAATGATTATTATCAACGATCCTATAAACCACATTATTCATACTGAATTGTGGTTAAAAATTTATTATTTTTCTTTAACCACTGGACATTTTTAACCACTATTCTGATATGAATAATGTGGTTTATAGAATTGTTCGGCTACCCGCTCCCCCCCCCCCCCCCACTCTATGGAAAATAACATGGGATTTCATTTTAATCCTATGGCTATACTTTAACATGGAAATGCTCTCATAGGATAACATGGAGGACACTTTTGCTATAGGAAAGTGCGATTACATGGGTTTCTATGGGATTACAGCTTAAGTCTATGGCATAGAAATAACATGGGTAATGATAAGTCTATGGATAATGCTAACTCAATGGGACTAATGCTAATCATATGGACTAATGTTAAGTCTATGGACAATGCTAAGTCTATGTGGAGTGCTAATCCTATGGACTCGTATTGAATGTGTATACAATGCTAATCTATTCTTTGAGAATCACCCGAATAGTGGTTAACGTATAGCATCGCTGTGTGATCCTTGTTTGAAATAAAACTTGCTCAAACTTATTTACATACTCTTATATACTTTTAAAAAAATAATTAAATTATCTTTTCTACAGTAGTCTTAAAGCAATTCAAAATTTACACATCACTTAACCGTCACTTTTAGATATGATACTGATTGTGTGAAATTAGACGGACACTGATTTGTGAGTCACTAAAGTATATACTAAACTCTACTCATAGGATCACTAAAATCATGTCAACATTTTGTCAATCACTACTCACTTGTAATCGAATCTTTAAAAATTTTCAAATAAATCCGAGCCAACCGTATGTTCTCATCACTCATTTCTCCTTTCATGAGTATTCTCTGGACGTAATCCGTGTTAACGAATGTCATCATTGATTTTTGAAACGTTTCACTCATTAGATCTTTTATGTGTTGCGACGAAGGGTTAATACTATTGGAAGCGTCCGTAGGGACAGGACTTGTCGGTCGATACGTAACATACATTTTGTCAAACAATACCATCACTTCTCTGGCCAATTGGGTCAGCTCGCGCTCATCGGCGGGCGATATATTAGCAGAGTTTAAACGAATGATACTATTATACGCATTCATAAGCAGTTTATCGTCAAAGTCTTTAAATAGCATTAAGTCGGACAACGGCCGGGGCTGATACCGGGGCTGCGTATTCAGATACTTTCGTAGTTGTTGATTACGCCATATGAGTAACATTTCAAGCAACATCATTCGGACTAACGAACCACGTTTCAATTCTCTGTGAATCAATTGCTGAAATTCAATCTCTGTCTCGTCCATCGCCTGTAGGTTCGCATCGTTGCCGCCGCCACCCAATTGTTGCTCAATTTTGGCCACAAATTGTTCATCAATTGGCACCAAATACTTGATAACTCCGTCTAATATTTGCCGGCTTTGATCGTCGGTGGCCACCGATAAACTTTGTTTTAATAGCTCGAGACGGGCTATATTAAAAAGTTTAAGAAAACAATACTATACATGGTTCATTATGAAATTGATCGATGTATAACACTAGTAGAATAATAAACAATTATTTTTAAACAACATTTTCAAGTGATTACTCACTCGGAAGTCTCGCTTTTACTCTTTTTAAGAATATCCGACCGATTCGTATGTTTTCATTAATCATTTCTGCGTTCATTAGTAACTTCTGTACGAAATCCGAGGCAAACATCTTCGCCGTAAAGTCGGCCAACGGTTCAAACACTCTATCACTCAATTGTTTGACGTTTGGTTCAGTAGTTTTTATAATTCGTTGCCATTCGGTTGGGTCAGCACTTATGGGCCGTTCGGTGGGCGCAGGACTTGTGGGCAAATAATATTTATCATTCAATTCAAGCGTATCCTTGGTCAATTGGATCAGTTCGCTCTGTTCAGGTGCCGATAGATTAGCCAGGTTTAAATCAATTACACTCTTTAACAAATTCAGTTGATTTGTTATATCAAAGTCCATTAACAGCATATGGTTTGTCAACGGACTGGGCTTATAGTTGGGGTCACTTTTAAGGTACTTGATCAATTTGTGATTACGCAAAACGGGCAACATTAATAGCAACACCATGCGTACTAATGAACCACGTTTCAATTCGCGTAACATTATTTGCTTGTATTCAATGGCCGTCGGGTCCAGCGGTCGTTGCTTTACATCGTCGCCGACTCCACCCAATAATTGCTCAAATGTGGTGAAATGCTTGTAAAATCTTGGTATTCCTGACTCTATATATTTAGAGATCTCTTCCAGCATTTGACGGCTATTAGAATCGGTGGCCACCGCTAGGCTTTTCTTCAGGAGCTCATAACGTACTATATATTAATGTAAAACAATATATATCTCATAATTTATGTGTTGTCATGTGGTGGGTGCTTATTATCGTAAAGGGTATACTTTATATAAACAAAGACAATAAATTTTTGACATTAATTGACTAATTAAACAAATTAAACTCCATATTCATTAAGTTCTAAGTGAAAAATATAGCAACATGGTAAAAATGGAATACTCACTATTTGTCCCCAATTCTTAAAGCAAATTTTAAAGCAAACAATCACTATTATACATTTAAGAGTTGGTAACTTTATTTGTGAATGACTATATACTGGACTACAATCATAGGAATCCTATGATAGGATCACTAAAATCATGTCAACCCTAACTTATTGTCAATTATTACCAGTACTTACTTGTAATCAAATCTTTGAATTTTTTTACGTAAATACGAGCGAACCGTATGTTTTCAGGGGGGGGGGGGGGAGTCTACCCGGAATCAGGGTTGCATTTTTATAAACTTTTATAAACTAACTTGATTATTATAAATTTAATAATTATTTTTTGTTGCTATCCATAACAAACGTTTATGACAAAATCTAAATTAACCATGTACATTAATATACAGTCCGTTTTGAGCTACTGAAAAGAGCTCTATTGTCGGCGAAAGATTCTAAAACGCGTCAATTACTAGAAGCTATGGTCAAACAAATGACATTAACAGTGTCATCGCTGTATGAAAATTACGCTAAAAGTGAGAAATCAATGGCTGGTGTCGACCACGATGTAAATCATCTCCCAATGGACCCGTCGTTGAGTGAATATCAGCAATTAGTTTACCGCGAAATGAAACTTGGTTCGTTAGAACGCATGATGGTGATATTAATGGTGCCCGTTATACGTAATCAACAGATGACCGTGTACCTTAATAATAATAATCCCAATAACCAGTCCGCTAACCCCATGTTGTTGCCCGATATTGACACCATTCCGTTGGATAATTATAAGCGAGTCATCGATTTAAACCTGGTCAATTTGCCGGCCGCCGAACAGCGCGAGCTGACCCAGTTCGCCAAAGAGGCGATTGACGTGAGTAATAAATTATATTTGCCCACAAGTAATGCGCCCACCGAACGGCCCACAAGTGCTGACCCAACCGTATGGCAACGCATTATACGCATTGAGCCAAACGTCAAACATTTAAGTGATCGCGTGTTTGAATCGTTGGCCGACTCTATGGCGAAGATGTTTGCCTCGGATTTCGTACAGAAGATACTAATGACGGGCGAAATGAGTGATGAAAACAAACGCTTTGCGCGAATCTTCTTAAGGAAACGAAAGGCGAGAATTACGAGTGAGTTATGAATCATAACTTATGATTTTAAAATACCTATAATAAACACTTTATAATATAATATTCTTTATGATAGCAAGTTATATAATATAAAGATTATACTAGTAGAATAATCAACAAGCATATAAAGTTTATATAGTTGATAATTATTCTACTAGTGTTTTATTGATATGCAGATTTGTCAGATATACAATATACAGTATATGTAATAGCCCAGTGTATAGTTTTAATTGAACCAATAGTATTTGTTTATAATGTTTATTTAAAATCATTAATATAGTCCGTCTCGAGCTTAATTTTGTTCGTGATAACCACCGGTGGCTACTATTTTCGGCAGTTTATAACCTGCCTTAATATTTCATAAACTAGGGTTTTATACTTGTTATAATGCGGTTTTAACTCGTTGTTAACCCACCGCAGCGCGACGATGCGAACCTACAGGCGTTGGACGAGACAGACATTGAATATCAACAATTGATTCACCGGGAAATGAAACGTGGTTCATTAGTCCGAATGGTGATGCTTGAAATGTTGGCCATATGGCGTGGGCAACAAGTACAAAAGTATCTTAATACGCAGCCCCGGTATCAGCCCAGCCCGTTGTCCGACTTAATGCAATTTAAATACATTGATAATCAAATGATTATGGATGCGTTTAAAAGTGTCGTCCATTTAAACGCCGCCAATATATCGCCCGCCGAAGAGCAAGCGTTGGTCCGATTGGTCAGAGAAGCGACGGCGTTGAAAATGCACGAATTCGGTCGACCCGTTAATAGCAATACTAACCCTGAGATGAAACAAAACCCGAGGTTAGTATAGTTTGTTTGCTATTTAAACACTTGATCTGTTTCTACCGACGGAACCGCTTAATAATGTCTCTAATGATCGCCCGACATGTGCTGTACCTACGGATGCGTTCAATAGTATTAACCCTTCGTTGCAACACATAAAAGATCTAATGAGTGAAACGTTTCAAAAATCAATGATGACATTCGTTAACACGGATTACGTCCAGAGAATACTCATGAAAGGAAAAATGAGTGATCTTTTGTATGCCAAGCGAGCATAAATGCATTTTTTTAAGTTTCTAAACTAATGTTCATTCATGACCATTATTAACTGTTATTCAATCCCAACTGTACTAAAATCACTAGGATAGTATCCTAAGGATAAATTGTAGTCCAGTATATAGTCATTCACAAATAAAGTTACCAACTCTTAAATGTATAATAGTGATTGTTTGCTTTAAAATTTGCTTGAAGAATTGGGGACAAATAGTGGATATTCCATTTTTACCATATTGCTATATTTTTCACTTAGAACTTAATGAATATGGAGTTTAATTTGTTTAATTAGTCAATTAATGTCAAAAATTTATTGTCTTTGTTTATATAAAGTGTACCCTTTACGATAATAAGCACCCACCACATGACAACACATAAATTATAATATATATATATATTGTTTTACATTAATATATAGTACGTTATGAGCTCCTGAAGAAAAGCCTAGCGGTGGCCACCGATTCTAATAGCCGTCAAATGCTGGAAGAGATCTCTAAATATATAGAGTCAAGAATACCAAGATTTTACAAGCATTTCACCACATTTGAGCAATTATTGGGTGGAGTCGGCGACGATGTAAAGCAACGACCGCTGGACCCGACGGCCATTGAATATAAGCAATTAATGTTACGCGAATTGAAACGTGGTTCATTAGTACGCATGGTGTTGCTATTAATGTTGCCCGTTTTGCGTAATCACAAATTGATCAAGTACCTTAAAAGTGACCCCAACTATAAGCCCAGTCCGTT